TTATATTATTATTTTGTAATTAAGATTATTTAATTATTTAATAATATATATTTTATTTAAATATTTTATTCTTAAAGATAAGTCTTTCAGATAACAGAAAACCCGCATGGTTGTTGAGACAAGTTACAGTTTCAAAAGCTTATGTAATTACAATTAATTATTTTATTAAAACTAAGTCATGTAGTGTGTCTTGTAAGATAATTGACTTCCTGTGAAATACAGCTCAGGAATGTGCATTGTACTCTTTTAAAAAAATTCTAACTCTTAAATTATGATTTCTAGATTAAATGTTTCAAAAAAAATTCCAAATATCTATATTATATTAGTACAATATGTAATATAAAACAATACCTTCGCTGGCAAACTCGATGAAACTGTGCCACTGTACATCCAACTTGCAGTTTTCCTGAACAAGCTGGCACATGTTGCGCAATAAATCCCTCCATTTGTTCCAGTTATAGACGTACGTGCCATCGTTGTATCCAATACCATTTGGATGGTGAATCTGCAGGAAGATCAGTAGCAGTTTGTACTTTCCCTCGGAGCCATTCAAACGTAAAATGTCCATCGACATGCTTTCGCTGAATTTACAAAGTGCGATTCTTGATTCCGTCGCGATTTGCCTGCATACACTGCTGCTGAGTCTGTAGAAGGACTCTGTCAACTGCTCGTCATTATTTGCTTTCACATTTTCGAAGACCTCCTCTAGAGAACATAAAGTAATTGTCTTATTAGCTTTTTACTTTAGAGGATAAAAAAATGGATCTTATTTTTACGTTTTCTGAAAATATGATGATTTTTACATTTTCTGAAAATATCATGAAGTTCTAACGTACCCAAGAAGAGCAATAAATTTTTCACGTGAGAAATTAGATTCGTGTGCAAGAAGGAATGATCCACAATCATTTGTAGCGCATCTAACACAATATGCTTCTTAAGATGTGCCTTTTTGTATAGCTTCCTGCAAACTATCAGCAATTCCCTCCATTGCTCTGCTGTAATGTTATTATGATTGGTACTTTTAGGCAATATGTATTTCACCAGTATTGCCAGATATGTGTCTTGATAGTGTACATAGATTTTGGAATCCAATATCTGCAGTATCATAGAGACTATATCGTTGGCATTTAGAAGTTCAACGGATCTTTCATTAGATCGACGAATTGTATCAATTACTAAACTACAAAGTTCTTGTCTCTCTTTATTTTTGGCAGTTGTTTCTTTACTGGGCTTCTCTGCTTCCTTTTTTTTTATTATTTAAACATAAGAAAATTAGTGAAACAATAAACAAATAATACACAGTAAAAAAAAAATCTGTTTTAGGCATTTTAATATGCAATTCTTCTTACATCAAGAATTAGTTTGTGAGCTGTGAGCATAATATAGAGCCAATTAACATTTCCTGGAGCTTTTCTTTCCGTATTTTCGTGTATTTCATTAAGAGCATCATCATTCCGATACAAATCCAATAGTTCAATGACACATTTCTGGAAATTAGAAAAAACAGATTCAAAAAAATGCTGAAAAAGAATAAGCATCTATCAAGATATTGGACAGTAATGCAATTCAACTTGAATCTTTGATTAAATTTCAATTACTTCTTTATAAAATCTGATAAAATTTTTTAAAGCAACGACAAGCTGAATTGGAGAACACAGTATATATCAAAGCGTTTAAAAATTAAGTCTCGAGTAATAATTCCATTTTCCAGATTGTCAACTGGATAAACATAATCTTCAAATGAGTATAGATTTTTACTGTTTAGAAGTAGATCTTTTAAAACAAGAATTAGAAAAAATTAAAATAATTAAACTAAAAATTTAAATAATTTCGATCCTAATTTTCCTACATGTGAACTATATTTATTTTCACAAAATAAAGTAGATTAAAAGTGGATTTTTGCGGTATCGCAATATGAAGAAAAAATAATATTATTAAATATATCGCTATCAATTTATCTTAGTAAGTGATAATAAGCGATAATTAACGCACGGTGTTACCTTTTTGTCGCTCAATCTGGAACTATTGGCTAGCTTTAAAACACCACAGATTCTCTCCGATATTCGCGACATTTTCGCGTCTTTTTCGACGTTCTCGTAGAGTTTATAAACGTCGAGTTTGATGTGTCAACTGCAAAAAAAAGAAATATAACCGCACTAGAACTTATAGCATAAATGTCATACAAGAGTCTAAGGGCGTTTCATCATGTTTCATGGTTTGATCGCCCCGTAAAATGCCGCCAAATACCGTAGACATTTAAGCCGTAGACTATCGGCACAAACTAGATAGTCAAATGCGTATGAAATTATTGTTCAGAGATACTCAGTACACAGCGTTATCTATAGTATATCCCACATCTAGTTACGTATATGAATTAATGAAAGATGTCATCCTACCATCAGATCGTAGAGATTTTTCGACGCATGTACATCTCCATCACGCATATACACATGGGTATATGCGAACAGCTGATGGCCTTGACAAACACGTGTTTCAATGCGATACAAGAACGCTTCTTACAGCTCGTAAGCACTTAAAAAAATTTTTTATTATCATCTTATATATAAATAATTATAATTATCATCAATGTTTACATTATAATATGTAAAGCGTACGAAGATATTAAATGATGATTCGCCGTCGTGTGCAACAAATAGTAGTTAAAAAAGAGATCCAGTGACGTGAAGAAACACGTGGTACCGCGTTTCCAGAAACACATCAAGAAGAAGACTTGTTTTCGTTCAGTAATATGGTGTATCTATTCTGTCCGTATTGCGCCAATCTTCTCCGATTTCAGGAAGACCCAACAGGCAATCGGTTCGCCTGTCGCACGTGTCCTTACATCTATAAGATAAAAAACGCGGCCACCGCGCGTACTTATTTCAATGAAAAGCTAGCGAAGACGGTCATCGTCAACAAGGAGACCGCGTGGGAGGGAGTAGATTCGACGGACGAGCGTTGCCCCAAGTGTTCGCATCCGCGCGCCTACTTCAGGCAACTGCAGACAAGATCCGCCGACGAGGGTATGACCCTATTCTACAGATGTTGCGATCATTCGTGTGCTCACACGTGGCGAGTCAATACGTGAATCAGCAGGTAACATATAATTGCAATCCCTTCCTTCTATCTAAGCTCTTTATATTGTTTTAATAGATTTTTTTCCATAGAGGCAAGCAGTTCAAAGCATTCGAGGTATCATGAGTCCCAGTTCAATGGGCCCTACGAAAGTCAACATGAACCGTGCGAAGAACGAACTGAAGCTGATCGGACCGCAGGAGAAACACTGGTTCTGCGGTGGCGACCGAACCATCGCGATGGCGGCGCAGTTGCTGCAGCAGGGTAAGGTGATTGCGATCCCGACGGATACGATATATGGTCTTGCTGGAGTGGCTGTTAACCCGCACGCTGTCCAGCGGCTATACGAGATCAAACGACGTGATGGGAGCAAGCCACTGGCGATCTGTCTGAGTAACATCAAGGAGATTGGCACATGGGGTGTTCTGGATGACGTGCCGTCCGGTATGCTGGAGTATCTG